AACTTTTAGTAAATCCAAGGTCCAACAATAATACAAATAGATATGAAGTTCAGAATCTTAAATGCTGATAGAAAAAATCCATAACAATAAAAAAAAAAAAAGTTAAAATGTCTAAAAGGTAAAATTCTCAGCTATCGCATCTGCATTTGCAAAGCAACTAAAGAAGCTCTCTTCTGAGTTTCCTTCTATGTAAACTAGCAAACTAACGGTAATTCTCTACACAACTCCACACCTCTTAACACATTCTTTCCTTATTTAATAAAGATTTCAACTAAATACCGCTCACAACAGTTAAATTTTACTCAATTACCAAAAAGGAACATTAACTAAATGAAGAAGTGACGACGGCGTTCGACGGACGGTTACAGTTACCAACTTACTAGATTAAATTAAACTATGAGAAATCCTTTCTCACAGACGGCGTTCGGCGGACGGTGGACGAAGGGATTCGCCGTTTCAGGTTTGAGAGAGTCAAAGAGAGGGTTTCGCTTTCGACTTTCGTTGTTTGAAAGAGAGAGCGGAGAGGGTTTCGCCTATGTCGGTAAAGGGCAGGGACGAAGGGTGTGAGATAGAGCAGAGAGGGTTTTGCCTTTGGGTCAATGGGTAGGAATTGGGTTTAATTTTATGTGGCTTGCAAATTGGGCTTTCAATTTTTCAAATGAGCTAGAACAGTGGGCTACTGGGTTGGACTTAGACAGTGGGCTATTGGGTTGGAAAGTGGAAACAATTGGGCTCTAACCAATTTTAGTATTATTATTTTTTTTTTACAGAAGCTGGGCTTGGGCAAGAGTGGGCCTCCGCCCATGCTTGTGTCCGCCTTTGGTCTGTAAGACCTATAGGGTAATTAGAATGAACATGGCATGTCTGGCTATGTCCGTTCCAAAATCGTACGTGAGATTTTTTAAATTGTTCAAATTTTGTAACAGGAGTAAGATCGGTCAAATTGTCTGTGGGTGTGAATCCATAGGACTTTCGTCCTTCAATTTCTTGGTTCCAAACTATTTTATTCCTTGGAAACCC